CAATATATGTCGAGGTGATGGACGATACAAGACATGTCGATTTTTTGTAGCTTATTGTGAAGTTGTAGTACATGAAAATCGGGCCACATGACAAATCAGCACATAAATAAAACATTCTAGTGTTCCGTGGTATACATCTTTTCTACATGTCATACCTCCTTTTGTTATTACACAATGAAATTTTACTGGTTGTTATCCATCGCTGGTTTGTTTTTAGCAGAGAATGACCTGTGTATGTTTCAAGAGAGGGTACCGTTTGAGCAGATTTCGCAAAGAGGGTACCGATATGGATATGCACCGTGATGTTTGTTTTTAAAATTTTCCAGACAACGAGCATGCTTAATGAAGAAACTCAATGATTTTTAAATCACCGTTTTATATGTAGATGAACAGGCGGTAAAAAATACCTCCATCATAGAGCTAAATCTGTGCCTCCATATATTGGTTGTCGTGAGTTCTTGACACCATCTTTTTTGTAAGAATTCTGCCACGTTCTTTGTTAATTGAGTATTGGTGAAAGAGTCATTGAAGACATAAGCCGATTTAGGCAGTACAAGTGAATGCAGCTTTATTCAAGCACTAAAGCAGCTTACCAAGCCACCAAACATGGGTGTGTATTTTCTTTGTTTTACATAAAACAGACAACAGACAACAAAACATACATATACACACACTGACATACATATATCGGCTTTTTTTTCTGGTTTGCCGTTATGTTTTTCAGACCCATATTACCACTCAAGAAATTTGAAATTTGCTATGTTTATATACATATCGTCATTGGCTGTTTTCTAAGCCAACATAGTTCATTGTCTTTAAATTGATAAATCAAAATTTTAAAACGTTTTTTCTCTAGTTTTCATCTTCCTCGCGTTATAAGTCGTACATAATGTATTACTTTATAGGAATATCAGACATCTAGATGCGGTTTGTCACCAAAGCCTTTGGCAATACAATTATTTAAGTTTTTTTTTTTCCCTAAAAGGATAAACCATTTGCTTCTATCTAACCGGATTTCATTAATTAGCACGGTATATTTAATTTCATTATAAAGAAGGAAGTTGACCATCCATATATTGTTTGTAGTCTAAGGTAGTTATATACCTATATACTCTTGCAGGTAGCAGTCAAAAGGGGCATTCGAACAGGATTTAAGCAGTAATAAGGGATAACCTAAATTATTGTTAATTGAAATTGATCAACACGTTCAGCTCTTTATCAGAGACTTTTATTCAGGCAATGAAGGCTAAGTGACCTCCTTACATGGGTTATCGTCATGTGTGATTTACCCTGGAAAGCGAAATTTATATTTATTGTATTTGACTGGATAGCATTTATACCTGCTAATTAATGTAGTTGGCAAAGTCAATAAATAAAAATCTTCCAGTAAAATGCAGGTAGATAATAATTATTGACGGTCATTTCATGAAACCCTATCAGTTCCTAACTTATTTATTTTACATTTGCAATGTTTATTAAACGTATTTCAAACGAGATTCAAGCAGGTCTTAAGCAGTGTAAGTTATAAACCTCTAATATGCTGTTAGCGTATATATCGCTCTTCAGTCGTTCGGCGCACCGAAGAGGTTGACGTCGCAAAAAGTGGGTTGTCGTTCGAAATATATAATTGTTGTTGTATAATGATTGGGATCTTTACAACGTGTCCTTTTTTAGTAATCTTATTTTATACGTTAATACGTTAAATTTGCATTGAAAGTGAAAACTGATACTCACACACAGGCGCTGCACAACGCACACACAGACACACACTATGTCGAATTGCTGATTGAAAGCACAACATAGTTCAAAGTATTATATTGATTTCGATTTTAAACGGTATTTTTCTCCAGTTTTCTTCTCCCGTCTAAGAAGTAGCACATTAAAGGGAAAGATTGAGACATTAAAATGGCCGATATAAACACTGTGTCTATGGATAAACCATGGATTCAATCCACAAATTTTCATGTTATTCTCTCTCCCCACCCCCTACCCCGATCTTAATGCTTATTAACCGATTCAAACCAACATTCAGCCAATTCATGCAGTGTGAAGTTGTAAAACACTCCTTTCTCCTTTTCCCAAAGAAAGGTATAACATGTAAATTATGTAAGTTTATGTATTGCAGGCTTCAGTCAGGCATCGAAGTCAGTTGACCTCCAAAATGCGGCGTTGTCCTTTTACTCAAATTTCATGGTTCTTAACGTAATCTTAGGCTTATTAAGTACATATGTATAACCAAGCAGAAGATTGTAAAAAGTATAATGTATATAACATGTGATTTTAAAATTTAAACCGTCAAGGACCTTACAGTCCGTATATGGTTTGTTACATAATATTTTATTGTTCAGCTGTTTTTCAGAACCTCAATTTTATGAATTCAAAAGTTCGGCTATTCATAATTGCCACTTGTTTGCATTATTACTAATAATGGCTAACACTAATAGGATGAAGTGATATACATGATCATAAGACTGTCTCCACATCCAGGATACTGGCAGTCAAGGATTGCATTTAACAATGATCTTTTTCTAGTGATACTCAATCATGTTTTACAGTCTGACCGCGGTAGGCCTATACTCTAAAGGAAAATTACTGACTTTTTTCCGAAAGAGATGAACTCCATTTATTGGTGTGTCGTAATTGAATATATACTATATTCAGATCATGGCGAACTGTTTTTCATGGTTTAATATTTTGACAGGTAACAATTCGCGTTTTAAAGGAAGTGTTAATGATAACCTACAATTAACTTATTAATTTGGTGATACGTTTTGAAAGGCATATACGATCTCTAAATTTAGATAGCACTTTATACAGGTAACTGGGCAGGTGACCTTCCATACACGTGGTTGTCGTCTTCATTTTACCAAAGACAAAACTATTTATTGTGTAATTGGTTGAATCCTTTAGAAGCATTGGTTTTCCTTCACCTCAAAATGTCGACAATTTATGTAAGATTCACTTAATTGATAAGTCATATCATAATGTGTCGCTACCGGAATGAACGCTGGAAGAGCCTAAGGTTGACCCATGCAGAGCCCCGGTCGATCCAGGCAGAGCCAGGACGATCCAGCAGAGCGGCCCCCGTAGGAATCCCAGTGGATTGAAAACGCGCGAACATGATTACATGATTACATTGATCAATACATATTTTTTATTTAATATAGAAGAACAGTAATGTATGATGATTTTCTGAAAAATCCTTACAGCAGACTGGATAGAATTGAAATGGGAAGAGGTATACAAACAAGTGCAATCATCGCAATTGTCCGTGTTCTTTTGGAATGAAGCCGGGCTTATAGGGGCTCTACCGGGATCAACCTTAGCTCCATCGTCAATCCACCGGGGCTCTGCCTGCATTCTCCGAGGCTCTGCTGGCATTCTCCGGGGCTCTGCCAGCATTCACAAGGGCTCTGCCGGTAGCTCACCGCTATTATATCATACCCCGGAATCACATACCCTGGTTTTTGCCGAAGAGCTACGGTGCTTTCCTCGTAAAACCCCGGTCGTTCCCGGCAGAGCTCAGGATGAAGCCGCAAAAACTAAATACTCCCCCCCCGGGTTATCCCGCGGACCACCCGGTGATATTAAATATTTTTTTTTATTTCCGGGGTCGAATGCCAGATGTTCAGGATCATGGCCCGGACGTTGCTGCAGAGTTATGGATGTATTCCGGCCGTTCCCAGATCACCTGGACGTCTACCGGGGGCTTTGCCGGGATGTAAGTGAGACTGTAGCTTAAATTATGTATTGCACTTCAGTCCAGGCATCGAAGCAGTTACCTCCAAAAGCGGGTTGTGCCTTTTACCCAAATTTACATGTTTCTTAACGTAATCTTAGTTATTAAGTACCATGTTATATACAGAAGATTGTAAAGTAATGTATAACATGTAGATTTTAAAATTTTAAACCCGACAGACATTAATCATCCGTATATTGGTTGTTAACATAATTGTCACTATTTTCATAACCTCATTTATGATCAAAAGTTCACTATTCCTAAACTTGCATTATTTGTAAAAAAAAAAAACAGGTTCATATAATGGCTATACACGTAATAGAATAAATGGAGTTAATATACAAGTAAAGTACATGATTTTAGCATTGCAGACATTAAACTTGTCTCATCCAGATACTGGCTGTCAGAATTGCATTTAACAATGCACTTTTTACTAGAGATACATCATTCAGTTTACAGTCTAACCCGGTAGGCCTATACACTTTATATGATCTTTAAGGGTATAAAAAAAGGTGAACCTCCATATATTGGGTTGTCGTCATTGATATATACTCTTATCATAAGATCATGGGCGAACTGTTTTCATGTTTAATAATTACAGGTAACATGCGTTGGGGGTGTAATTGATTACCTACAATTACTTATTATTGTGATACATTCGGAAGCATGTACATCTCAAGTTAGATTGCACTTTATTCAGGTACTCGTGGCAGGTGACCTCCAACACGGGTTTACGCCTTTATTTTACCCAAGACAAACTATTTATTGGTGAAATTGATTGAACCCTTTAAAAAAATTGGTTTGCCTTCACCTCAAATGACGACAATTTATGTAAATTCACTTAATAATAGTCATATCATAATGTGTTTTGTAAGTGCATAAATATACAAAGCAACTAAAAGTATACAATTTCACAATTATTAGCGTTATTATATAGAGACACGCACATATTGTTTCGTGATGCTATAAGTTGCTTTGAAAACATAACTTGACTTATTTATTTTGTTTCAATTCAACGTAGATCTAATATTGCGATATAATTAGTTTTCTTTTTTAAATGGAGAAATAAAAGTACATTTCGCACATTTACGTCCCTTTCCATTCTCTATAGCAGCGTTCACTCAGACGCTCTTTAACGTTCGCGGTAAAAAAAACGCTTATAATAGTAAACTCCGCCTTACTCCAGGAAAGGGATGTCATATAGCCTCCACCGAAAAATACACACGTGCACTGATAGTGTTGACATCAAAACGGTGTATCAGTAACTTTGACAGATAGTGATTTTTACGATTACAAAGTATAACGGTTCGCATCTTAGCGAATAAATTTAGAATTTGTCAAGAAAAAATATTCAATTTCTACAACTTTGGAATGAGATCGGAGTAGTATATACCTTTCATTTCGCTAAGTTATATTAAATTAATCATAAGACATGGAAACTTTATTGATGAACATAAAGATTAGCTGACAGGAATATATTATTTTTGTTGTCTTGGAAGTCACCCCACCCACAACTAAGAATGGTTCACAAGTACCAATCCCCTGTGAGGGTTTACAAACACCCCTTTGAAATCGTTATGGCGGTAGGTGTCTATTTTTCATTATTTCTTAACTATATCTTATATGAAAGTAGGCAAAGCCTATGAACGGGGGTCAGATGAAAAAAAAATTTTTATAATTTAAAGGCAGTGGGTGGCCCTGCTGTCCCATATTGCTACTGTTAGTGTATTTGAGTCACATACAACTAGCATAATTATATGCACTGTTAAGGCTAGCCATACAGCATTTTTAAAATAGATAACCTAAAACAATAATAAATATGCAAACTTGTGTTTCTATATTCTATAGAGTTGGGTACCGCCAGCAAGAAAATACCACGGTATACCACGTTTTTTTCCTAAAAACCACGGTATAAACCGCGGTATACCACAGATTTTCATTGTACGCTATAGGTTAATTTTTATCTCTAAAATAAGTATCAAGGTAGGCTGGTATAGAATTTCAAATAATATGAAAATAGGCAAAGCCTATGAACGGGGAAGTCGGTAAAAAATCCTTTCATTTTTCTGTTTTAAAGGTGTCATTCGGTATTATATGTACCCACTTCCGTTTTCACTCGGAACACTCGACTATTATTATTAATCCGAAAAGTTGAGATTTGTTACGTTATCGGAATACACCGCCTTTTATCATTGAGTTACATTGTAAATGGCGGCGCCTATCTAGAACTGACACTGAAAATTTCATTGATAGGTATAGAATTCTATATATTTTTTTTTTTTTTTAATTCGAATTTTCTTTTAAATATACACATGTAGTCTATAGCCGGGCAAGCCAAAGCCAAAGACTTTGACTTCCCGTATTAAATCTAAGCAGATCTAAAGCATCATTTAACTTTTTTTAATCAGGTACATTCGCATGTTGACAATCATAAATTAATTGGGTCATGGATCAGTTCTTGTTTTTTTATTATTTCATATTGGTCTCTTTCACATTTAACAACTCTTAAATAAATTGCACAGTTTAGTTAAAATGGAAAAATAAAATGTTTTTATTGCTTATTGATTAATAAAATAATAGGTCAAATTTATGCATGTTAGCCGATGACAAATATTTATTTGTCGGTTAATTTTATAGAAGAGTCCCAGCTGCTATTGTAATTTTTTTATTGCAAGAGCTAAGTATTTAATTAATCTGTGTCAGAAACCAAAACAAACATGTACCCCAAAAGCAAATTGAAATTATCACATAGAAAACAGCTGACCATGTTACTGCTTAATTAATATTCATTAGTTGAACGAACATTACTTTTAATCCAGTTTCTACGCCGTTCTATAATTAGTTAATTGCCATGCGCATGCAGTAAGTGCGTGACGTAAGGAAAACACCTAACCTGATTGGTCGCTATTTATATAAATACTTAAAATAGTAACACTCTAATTTTATGCAAGTAATGCCCTCATGAATGATCAATCTTTACGATTAGTTTTGGTATCAAATAAGCGATATTTGGACAAGTAAATGTAAGTCGACAATTCTTGCTTCTTCAACTGAGATCATGCAAGTCGACAATTCTGGCTTACATGCGGTAATCGATAAAGCATTTAATTTTCACTAAGAACTATCGAAGAATGATAACAGTCGGCACAGATATACATTAAACTCCATGCAGTCGGCGAAAATCGTTTGCAAAAAGGTTAATTCAAAGAAATATTGACATATACAACAGGAAAGTTTTTTAATTTAGTACATTTTACGGATCTGTAATTGCTTTAAATTAGAGCTAAAAGTACCGGTTTTCCAGGTCTGTACCGCGGTATGTACCGCAGATGTCTCGGACCATGGTTTACCGGTATACCGGTTAAACTGCGCACCTCTAATATTCTACACAAAGATTTATAATTATTAAACTGATTTCTATGGACCAGGGATTTTTTCCAGGATTTTGAGAACATGATCATGACAGATCCATACCCATGGAATTGGGAATTTCAGCGATGTTTTGTACAAAATTGGGAAAAAATACATGACTTAAATTTTGCAGTAATTAAATGACTGCAAACAATCACTGTTTAGGATGGCATCTTCAAACATTACAGCCCTTATTTTCAAAGATTTTAGAATTTGTTATTCAATATTTTTATTTTGTAACTTTCAATTGGGAAAATAATAATAATATTTTCAATTGGGAATATGACCCAATTATGAATAATGGCTATAAAGTAACCCCAAAAAAATCCCTGATGGACAATATAGATCTATATAATATTATGGAATACGAAAAATTTGTAATAAAACTTTATCTTGATCACTTTTAGCTAGTATTGAAAATTTATTTTAATGATGAAGCTCAGCAGCAGCTGTTTTTCACAATTGAATATTAAGCACGCTATCGGGTCAATTATAAGTAAGTTGGTCAATTTCCAGCGGTAGTGAGAGTATTACAAAATATTTTTGATAATTATAACTTGTAAAAAACACAAAATTAAATTGAAAATTTACATTGGCTGACAAAAACTACTTTTAATTAAAGGTGAATTTGTTTCTGATAGATCTATAACTGTTAACAGATATCTTGTCATAATATAAATGGCTGTCAGAATATCATCCATAAAAATATTTAGAATAAATATATTATACCTATATTATCATTCGTTTAATCTTTGTAAAAAATAAGGTTTCTTAATCGGACAAAAATCATAATCGATCATCGAAAATAATCGAACAACCCTTTTCGATCAATCATCGATTATATAATCGAAACATTAACAATAACAATAACAAAGTAAATGTGTACAATGTTCATATCATGCTTTAATATTTATAAGAATTCCATTTCCATGCATGTAACCACCACTTTATCAACTGAAATAAATAAGTTTAAAGATATACTATGCTCATCCTTGAGTAAAATATTTTTATCAAATAAATTCATTAAAATTATTATGTGTCACTTTTCAAAAAAGCAATGAATAAACTATGTATGGGAACAAGTTTAGTTGGTCCTTTCTTTACAAAACTGCAATTTTTTTAATGACACTAAATATTGATATTGCAACCACCTTTAGTGTGTAGAATAATTTTATAACATATCTTCTTTGTGTGAAGTCAAAACATATTTATTTTATATTTACAAAAAGACTGTGTAGCAATTTTAAATATTTTCTAATGTCAAATTTGAGCATAGTATACCTTTAAACTAGCATGCCTCACTGTCAACTATTAACTCCATGGTCACCAGTATACTTTCATATTCAATTGAATGAAAATTATTGTTTCAACCAAAACTGGCTTTAATTTAGTGTTTTTATAATACAGTGAGTCACTTAAGTAACAGCAAGAAAATAAATTACCGATAATCGATTATTATGTCTCCCCCACCTCGGGGGGAGACATATTGTTTTTGCCCTGTCCGTCCGTCCGTCCGTCCGTCCATTCTTCGTTTCCGGACGATAACTAGAGTTCCTTTTGACCTACAGCCCTCAAACTTCATAGGATGATTGGTCTTATAGAGCTGATGATCCCTATTGTTTTTGGGGTCAGTAGGTCAAAGGTCAAGGTCACACTGACCGTTGGTCAATTTCTCGTTTCCGGATGATAACTAGAGTTCCTTTAGACCTACAGACCTCAAACTTCATAGGATGATTGGTCTTATTGAGCAGATGATCCCTATTGTTTTTGGGGTCAGTAGTTCAAAGGTCAACGTCAAGGTCACAGTGACCGTTGGTCAATTTCTCGTTTCCGGATGATAACTAGAGTTCCTTTTGACCTACAACCCTCAAACTTCATAGGATGATTGGTCTTATAGAGCTGATGATCCCTATTGTTTTTGGGGTCAGTAGTTCAAAGGTCAAGGTCACAGTGACCGTTGGTCAATTTCTCGTTTCCGGATGATAACTAGAGTTCCTTTTGACCTACAACCCTCAAACTTCATAGGATGATTGGTCTTATAGAGCTGATGATCCCTATTGTTTTTGGGGTCAGTAGGTCAAAGGTCAAGGTCACAGTGACCGTTGGTCAATTTCTCGTTTCCGGATGATAACTAGAGTTCCTTTTGACCTACAGCCCTCAAACTTCATAGGATGATTGGTCTTATAGAGCTGATGATCCCTATTGTTTTTTTTGGGTCCAGTAGGTCAAAGGTCAAGGTCACACTGACCGTTGGTCAATTTCTCGTTTCCGGATGAATAACTAGAGTTCCTTCAGACCTACAGACCTCAAACTTCATAGGATGATTGGTCTTATTGAGCAGATGATCCTATTGTTTTTTGGGGTCAGTAGTTCAAAGGTCAAGGTCACAGTGACCGTTGGTCAATTTCTCGTTTCCGGATGATAACTAGAGTTCCTTTTGACCTACAGCCCTCAAACTTCATAGGATGATTGGTCTTATAGAGCTGATGATCCCTATTGTTTTTGGGGTCAGTAGGTCAAAGGTCAAGGTCACAGTGACCGTTGGTCAATTTCTCGTTTCCGGATGATAACTAGAGTTCCTTTTGACCTACAGCCCTCAAACTTCATAGGATGATTGGTCTTATAGAGCAGATGATCCCTATTGTTTTTGGGGTCAGTAGGTCAAAGGTCAAGGTCACAGTGCAGTGGGGGAGACATGCGCTTTTTTACAAAAGCATCCTCTAGTTAAACTTTGTAATCGATCATCGCTGATCGGTTCTATAAACGATCAATTTTCGTTTATACTCGATCATCGTTTAATCCCTAGTAAAAAATGTAATTTAAGACTTGCAAGTTACTGACATCATCATTGAAAAAATGCTGTTCGGCTATCTGCAGCAGTGCGTATAGGCTAGACGTATGTGACTCATGTACACTAGAACTTTTAGCTGGCAGTATGGGCCAGTATGTTCTGTTTTAAAATCGGAACACCTCCATGATAATTCTTATGAGAAAAGTTGCGAGTTACTTTGAGTTACATTAAAAATGGTGGCGACCAGCTAGTAGAAATGACACTGAAAATTTTAAGTTCTAGAAATATACATATTTTTGATTGCTTTTTTTTTCAAATATTTATTTTAAATATACACATGAAGTTTATGGCCCAAAAAGCCAAAGCTTGGACCCACATTGCCTTTGACTTCACAATATACCAGAAGATTCTTTGCAAGTATGACACAATATTTTGTTGCACACCCAGTTTTAAACAAAATATGAAAGGCAGTATCGCCTGGTGCCCTAAATCCGTCCTTGTCCTACTGCTTCTAGGTCAACACAGTTTCTTACTCATCAAATGTTTGTTAAGAAAAAAAAACAATCTGATATTTTTAAACATCAAATTGAATTGAATATATCTGCCAAATTTCTTTAACATGGAATGCTTGGATCATAAGAAAATACAGTGTATCAAACTAGCACTATAAAATGCTATGGGTAACATATCATGGCCACTCATGGAATCATGGATAGTTAGATGTAAACTATTGGCTTTTGAGAATTCTTCTTGCCAATGGACAAGTTGAAAAAGGAGCTCAATGAAAGAAGATTAAAAAGTTTCTAATCATAAATGTATTTCGCCAGTGTGTTTATCCCAAGTTGAAGTTCTTATAATTGAGATATCTGGTCAAACGAACATCAGACCCACTTTTTGGCATATATTTGACTCAATTGTGATATTGTCAACAATAAATGTGGGTGATTTGTCTAACTGTTTGAATAGAATGGTAACATAAGTTACATTGTCCAATAGTCAAGTAGTAAAATTGTAACCTAATAAGTTAACAACGCAAAATTTGCAGACAAACTATCCAGTGTTAACTGATCCTGCAATAAGAACAAAGGCATGCCAAATGAAATGATAATAATAATAATAATGTCACAAATGTTGAGTGAACCATAGCCTTTGTAACAGCATGCTCAATCTTAAATTTCCTATTACCATGTCAAAGGGGAGACATCTCAAAATTTCCAAAAATAACTATTTTGCATTGTTTTTTCCATCAAAACTGATTTCAAAGTGCTGTAACTTTTCAAAAGATTGAGATAGAGTAAAAGGCTTTTCAGGGTTGGTTACATGTTAGTCAAAAGTGATCAATTTTTTGAACAACATTTTTCGAATGAAAAACAGTGTTTGGGGCCTAAATTGGGCATTTTTTGCACTATTTGGGGCTTCAAAAGGGGAGGGGATTGAAAGAAGTTTTTGTTTATTTATGATAGTACATGTACATTCAAGTATCATGCTTGTTGTGAAAGAAAATTTAGCTTTGATAGTCATGATCATATAATGTTATCTCCCTAAAATACATAATAAACCTCTGGCCTGCTGACGACAGCTTAATAAATCCCTGCCTTTGCTATTCTTGTGAGTCAGTACATTTACATGTGTTTATATATATACTCTGTATTTTGATTTGTATTTTGATAAGTCCACTTATAGATATTAAGCATGTTAAGGGTTATATACCGTGGATTTTCAATATGATTTATCATGATGAGCTTGTTTTATCTTTAAAATTATTGATGTTGTTTAAGGTTATAAAGTTATACAATTCAATAAAAAGAGCATTTTTCTGTTGTATAATCCAAATTATGATTGTACTAAAATTGTGTTTACCGGTAATTATGAAACTAAACAGCAGGAAAATAATATAAGGTTTTTGATTGTAGTTAAAAGTGAGGATATTTCATGGGGTCACTGAGAGCAAACTAACATATACATGTATATATAAAATCATTGAACTTAAAGAATGCATTATGGGGGCACTTGATACATCTGAAATAGTATAATCATATATTAATAGGGTAAAACTTGGAAGTAGAAGAGGCTTTCACAACACTCATTCATGTTAAGATATTTTCTTATATTGGTTCATCAAATAATGCTATCTTTTGTTCTGTTTAAAAAAAAACCTAACAATGTTGCCAGACCTATAATTTGGAGTGGATAATAGTTACAGACAATTTTATGGCCTCATCAAAGGCTAACAAATTATGATTATTTTCATGTTTTATACTAATTCCATTAATTTGTACAAAAGAGGTTCAATCCTTGAACTGTCTCTATCATTTTTTTGCAATTATTTTGTTTTATTAGTTTTGTTTTCAGGGTTGTCATTAAGAGGCGGCAGGAGGCCAAAATGCCTGTCTCAAATGCATTCTGGGCCGCCTCAAAATTAAGAAAACACTCTTTGTTATGCATGATAAAGACAGAAATGACCGCCTCAAGTTCAAAACAAACCTTCTGCAAAAAATGTTAATGACAACCCTGGTTTTATTAGTTTGTCTAGTAGAAGAATGGGGGAGTAGTACTGTACTATCTCAGTATATAATCTCACACTATTTGTTGTTGTTGTTGTAGCATTTTGAATAAGGATTTGCATGTGTCTGAAGTGTAATATTTCAATATTTTAAGAGTCTTCCAGGCAGAGATAAAAATTACCAGAAGGTTGTTGCAAAATGTTTTCTTTAGTTTTTGAGTAATTTTTGCAAAGGAAAAAACAAAACTTTTTTATAAACAGAATCTCAGAAGGTTCCATATAAGATTCAAGGTTCAAGATTTTATTTCAAAAGGCATAAACATTTTACAATTTCCGTCGCCATAAAAACTGAAAATGACGGTTACAAATAATATATAAAAAGTATGTAACTGTTTATAAATAATTTTTACATTAACATTTTTATATTTAAAGAACACATGAACTAGAAAAAACCCAGGTGAGGTGTCATAATTAATGATTTTAGAAAATTCCTGCTTAGTGTTTTACATGCAACCTTTAGTTTTATTTCATTACCAGGCATATAAGAGAGATATTTCTAGTAGTAATTTTCATTGACATCTGTCAAGAATTTTAGTAATACTAGTATTAATTTACTTTCAGGCATATGAAAAGAGGTTTCCGACATGTAAAATGATCCCGGTATTTCTGGGTAGTGATATCGTATAGAAAAATATAAGAGTGAAGATGGTTGCTATACATGATGTAGAGAGACGATGTAGGTTAAATGTTGACGCTCCCTATCTGTTGAAGAAGGTATGTCACACTTCAAATTATTTTCATCCATTTATTACTAAAAACTGACTTGTAAAACTAATTTTCAGTTAATTTCAATGTCTGTGTTGAAGTTGAACCCTTTTTAGCTCACCTGTCACAAAGTGACAGGGTGAGCTTTTGTGATCGCTTTTCGTCCGGCGTCCGTCCGTCCGGCGTCCGTCCGTCGTCCGTCCGTCCGTAAACTTTTGCTTTAAATGACATCTCCTCATAAACCACTGAGCCAATTTCATCCAAACTTCACAGGAATGTTCCTTTGGTGGTCACCTTTAAAAATTGTTCAAAGAATATAATTCCATGCAGAACTCTGGTTGCCATGGCAACCAAAAGAAAAAACTTTAAATGTCTTCTTTTAAAAAACCATAAGAGCTAGAGCTTAGATATTTGGCATGAAACATCTTCTAGTGAGTGTCTACCAAGTTTGTTCAAATAAAAGCCCTGGGTCAAAATTGGCCCCGCCCGGGGAGGGTCATTGATTTTCCCTATATGCATATAGTAAAAACTTAAAAAATCTTCTTTTAAAGAACCCAAAGAGCTAGAACTAAGATATTTAGCATGAAACATGTTCTAATGGGTGTCTACCAAGTTTGATCAAATAAAGCCTGGGTCAAAATTGGCCCCGCCCCTGGGGTCATTGATTTTCTCTATATGCATATAGTAAAAACTTAAAAAATCTTCTTTTAAAGAACCGTAAGAGCTAGAGCTTAGATATTTGGCATGAAACATCTTCTAGTAAAATGTCTACCAAGTTTGTTCAAAATAAAAGCCCTGGGGTAAAAATTGGCCCCCGCCCGGGGGTCATTGATTTTTCCCTATATGCGTATAGTAAAAACTTAAAAAACTTCTTTTAAAGAACCATAAGAGCTAGAGCTTAGATATTTGGCATGAAACATCTTCTAGTGAATGTCTATCAAGTTTGTTCAAATAAAAGCCCTGGGGTCAAAATTGACCCCGCCCAGGGCGTCATAGATTTTCCCTATATGCATATAGTAAAAACTTAAAAAATCTTCTTTTAAAGAACTCAAAGAGCTAGAGCTAAGATATTTAGCATGAAACATCTTCTAATGAGTGTCTACCAAGTTTGTTCAAATAAAAGCCCTGGGGTCAAAATTGGCCCTGCCCCAGGGGGTCATTGATTTTCCCTATATGCATATAGTAAAAACTTAAAAAATCTTCTTTTAAAGAACTCAAAGAGCTAGAGCTAAGATATTTAGCATGAAACATGTTCTAATGGGTGTCTACCAAGAATGTTCAAATAAAAGCCCTGGGGTCCAAACTGGCCCCGCCCGGGGGGGGGGGGTCATTGATTTTCCTTATATGTGTATAGCAAAAACTTAAAAATCTTCTTTGGAAAAACTCAAATAGCTAGAGTTTAGATATTAAGCATGAAACATCTTTAAGTAAATATCTACAAAGTTTGTTAAAATAAACCCCCGGGGGTCAAAACTGGCCCTGCCCCAGGGGTGTCATTGTTTTTAACTATATGTGTATAGTAAAAACTTAAAAAAATCTTCTTTTAAAAAAGCCAATGAGCTAGAACTTAGATGTTTAGCATGAAACATCTTCTTATGGGTGTCTACCAAGTCTGTTCAAATAAACAAATAAAAGCCCTTGGGTAAAAATTGGCCCGGGGGTGGGGGGCCTATATACAGGTGAGCGACCTCAGGGCCATCATGGCCCTCTTGTTTAGCTCACCTGTCACAAAGTGACAGGGTGAGCTTTTGTGATCGCTTTTCGTCCGGCGTCCGTCCATCGGCCGTCCGTAAACTTTTACTTTAAATGACATCTCCTCATAAACCACTAAGCCAATTTCATCCAAACTTCACATGAATGTTCCCTTGGTGGTCACCTTTGAAAATTGTTCAAAGAATTTAATTCCATGCAGAACTCTGGTTGCCATGGCAACCAAAAGAAAAAACTTTAAATATCTTCTTCTAAAAAATCCAAAGAGCTAGAGCTTAGATATTTGGCATGAAAATCTTCTAGTGAGTGTCTACCAAGTTTGTTCAAATAAAAGCCCTGGGGTCAAAATTGGCCCTGCCACCAGGGGGTCATTGATTTTCCCTATATGCATATAGTAAAACCTAAAAAATCTTCTTTAAAAGAACCCAAAGACCTATAGCTAAGATATTTAGCATGAAACATCCTCTAATGGGTGTCTACCAAGTTTGTTCAAATTAAAGCCCTGGGGTCAAAATTGGCCCCGCCCCAGGGGGTCATTGACTTTCCCTATATGCATATAGTAAAAACTTAAAAAATCTTCTTTCAAAGAACCCAAAGAGCTAGAGCTAAGATATTTAGCATGAAACATGTTCTTATGGATGTCTACTATGTTTATTCAAACAAGAGCCCTGGGGTCAAAATTGGCCCTGCCTCGGGGGTCATTGATTTTCCTTATATGTGTATAGCAAAAACTTAAAAAATCTTCTTGTAAAGAACCCAAAGACCTAGAGCTAAGATATTAAGGATGAAACATCCTCTAATGGGTGTCTACCAAGTTTGTTCAAATAAAAGCCCTGGGGTCAAAATTGGCCCCGTCCCAGGGGGTCATTGATTTTCCCTATATGCATATAGTAAAAACTTAAAAATCTTCTTGTAAAGAAACCAAAGGCCTAGAGCTAAGATATTTAGCATGAAACATCCTCTAATGGGTGTCTACCAAGTTTGTTCAAATAAAATCCCTGGGGTCAAAATTGGCCTGCCCCGGGGGTCATTGATTTTCCCTATATGCATATAGTAAAAACTTAAAAAATGTTCTTTTAAAGAACCCAAAGAGCTAGAGCTAAGATATTTAGCATGAAACATGTTCTAATGGATGTCTACCAAGTTTGTTCAAATAAGAGCCCTGGGGTCAAAATTGGCCCTGCCCCGAGGGTCATTGATTTTTCTTATATGTGTATAACAAAAACTTAAAAAATCTTCTTAAAAAAAAAAACAAATAGCTAGTTTAGATACTAAGCTTGAAACATCTTCTAGTGAGTGTCTACCAAGCTTGTTGTAATAAAAGCCCTGGGGTCAAATTGGCCCCGCTTCGGGGGTCATTGATTTTCCTTATACGTGTATAGCAAAAACTTAAAAATCTTCTTTGAAAAAACCCGAATAGCTAGAGTTTAGATATTAAGCAAGAAACATTTTCTAGTAAGTGTCTACAAAGATTGTTCAAATAAAAGCCCTTGGGTCAAAACTGGCCCTGCCCCAGGTGTGTCATTGTTTTAACTATATGTGTAAAGAAAAAAACTTGACCAGCTAGACCTTAGATGTTTAGCATGAAACATCTTCTAATGGGTGTCTACCAAGTTTGTTCAAATAAAAGCCCTTGGGTTTAAACTGGCCCCGCTCCAGGGGCCTATATACAGGTGAGCAACTTCAGGGCCATCATGGCCCTCTTGTTTAAGGTAAGCTTCCCTTTCATTTAATGCAAAACATTGTTTCCCAGAAATCAAACTACATATACATTTTGTAACAGTTTTGACCCTTTTTCAATTTAAAATTTCCTGTTTATACTAAATTTTTTGATCAGACAATTTCACAAGATCATTTATGATATTTACTTCAAATGAAAGACTTGTTCGTCATCAGAATTTGACTAATTTTGAAAGAAAAGTTGACCCAAAAATTCACAGTTATGTCCAGTTCCTGACTTATATAGTGTCAAGTAATGTCCCTTGATGAGGAAGGCTGGATTACAGCTTTGTTGTACATACTTTACACTTACTTGCAGTTTGATATTTTATATGAAAAGTCTTGAATAAAAGTTTCTTAAATTTTAACCATGTTGAATCCTCTAAAATTTACCTTCCCTATCTAGATTTATGTAACTTTAAAAGATAAAGATATACATGTTATGTTGGAATATTGCCTTGATGATTTATTTCTCAACAAGATTTATTAAAAGAAAACTTAGTATACATACAAGTTTTGACATTTAATGGTTTTCAACCTTTGTTGATACTTGATATGAATTGTTGCAATTGAATGATCACAATTACTAATAAGGTCAGATTGTTTGATATGTATTGACACAATTATTAATAGTATTTAGTTTTTACATTATATAATTAGTTTTAAATAGAGGTAATTAGTTATCCTAGGCTTAGGTTTTTCTTAATGTTGAACTGCAGAAATTATAGCATCACAACTTATCTATAGTAATAACACTAAAATTAGATATACAGCTGTGTTTTCTACAGTTGTAGTATATTTTTATCGTGGTAAAAAAGAAAGAACATAACTTGAGACTGAAAATGTCAGATTAATATCAAGGAAACATTTGAATGGTAAAGCTAAAAAAAATTATTTTGGCCTGTCTCTGATCAAAGCTAATTCTTCCTTTTATTGTAAAGAGATTACAAATGATTAAAGGCTGTACTGTTATAAATTCATTGAATAATAGGTGGGCAAGTAACAGCTTTTGTTGCGCGGTAAAATCTAAATGTGTCGGCAAAAAATAGATATTGTAGTATAATTCTACATTTTTTTCTGGCCATGTTATTTGTGGTGTCAGGTAAACTATTATGTACATAATGTATATAATTATATCAAAATATTTATCATAAGTTAATATGATACATTGCTATAATTAAGGGTTTTTTACCTGAACCTTAATAATATAGAGACATAAACTCTGGCAAGATTTACCCTTTTCTTAGAAATAGGAGTTTTCTTATAAAAGTCATTTTGTGACTGCATGATCAGTCAACATTAAAGTATATTAAAGAGGCCATGTTTTGATATTTGTTCATTTTACAACAGTCTAAAATTATTCACAATACAGTGTATACTTAAATACCTTCAGAGTCTTCTATAAAAAGTATAAGGAGAACTGTCCCAATCGCCTTATTGTTAATGCTAAAGAACTACTTCCATATCTAAAATAAAATCAAAGGTTTTTGAACTGTAACATACATGTACTAGATTTATGTATGTGACATACGTCACATAGAATGAGAGTAACATGCGGCTTTCACTGGGACTCAAACTTGGAATACTGTCCTGGTTCTACAAACTGATCTGTCTTGCCACTTACACATTTTCTCTCCTAATAATTGAACAATTATTATACAGTGACACACATAACAATATTTATACATGTAGTTTCTATATTATCAAAAGTATTCCCTCTTTTTAGCTCACCTGTCACAAAGTGACAGGGTGAGCTTTTGTGATCGCTTTTCGTCCGGCGTCCGTCCGGCGTCCGTCCGTCCGTAAACTTTTACTTTAAATGACATCTCCTCATAAACCACTAAGCCAATTTCATCCAAACTTCACAGGAATGTCCCTTTGGTGGTCACCTTTAAAAATTGTTCAAAGAATTTAATTCCATGCAGAACTCTGGTTGCCATGGCAACAGAAAGAAAAAACTTTAAATATCTTCTTTTAAAAAACCATAAGAGCTAGAGCTTAGATATTTGGCATGAAACATCTTCTAGTGAGTGTCTACCAAGTTTGTTCAAATAAAAGCCCTGGGGTCAAAATTGGCCCCGCCCCGGGGGGTCATTGATTTTCCCTATATGCATTATAGTAAAAACTTAAAAAATCTTCTTTTAAAGAACCCAAAGAGCTAGAGCTAAGATATTTAGCATGAAACATGTTCTAATGGGTGTCTACCAAGTTTGTTCAAATAAAAGCCCTGGGGTCAAAATTGGCCCCGCCCCGGGGGGTCATTGATTTTCCCTATATGCATATAGTAAAAACTTAAAAAATCTTCTTTTAAAGAACTCAAAGAGCTATGGCTAAGCTATTGAGCATCAAACATGTTCTAATAGGTGTCTACCAAGTTTGTTCAAATAAAAGCCCTGGGGTCAAAATTGGCCCCGCCCCAGGGGGTCATTGATTTTCCCTATATGCATATAGTAAAAACTTATAAAATCTTCTTTTAAAGAACCAAAAGAGTTAGAGCTAAAATATTTAGCATGAAACATGTTCTAATAAGTGTCTACCAAGTTTGTTCAAATAAAAGCCCTGGGGTCAAAATTGGCCCCGCCCCGGGGGGTTATTGATTTTCCCTATATATGCATGTAGTAAAAATTAAAAAATCTTCTTTTAAAGAACCAAAAGAGTTAGAGCTAAGATATTTAGCATGAAACATGTTCTAATAAGTGTCTACCAAGTTTGTTCAAATAAAAGCCCTGGGGTCAAAATTGGCCCCGCCCTGGGGGGTTATTGATTTTCCCTATATGCATATAGTAAAAACTTAAAAAAATCTTCTTTTAAAGAACTCAAAGAGCTATGGCTAAGATATTTAGCATCAAACATGTTCTAATAGGTGTCTACCAAGTTTGTTCAAATAAAAGCCCTGGGGTCAAAATTGGCACCGCCCCGGGGGGTCATTGATTTTCCTTTTATGTGTATAGCAAAAACTTAAAAAATCTTCTTTGAAAAAAACCCAAATAGCTAGAGTTAAGATATTAAGCATGAAACATCTTCTAGTAAGTGTCTACAAAGTTTGTTCAAATAAAAGCCCTGGGGTCAAAACTGGCCCGGCCCCAGGGGTGTCATTGTTTTAACTATATGTGTATAGTAAAAACTTTAAAAAGCCCAATGAGCTAGAGGTTAGATGTTTAGCATGAAACATCTTCTTATGGGTGTCTACCAAGTTTGTGCAAATAAAAGCCCTTGGGTTAAATTGGCCCTGCAACGTTGGGGGGGGGGGGGGCCTATATACAGGTGAGCGAACTCAGGGCCATCATGGCCCTCTTGTTACAATGAGATGTTTGGTAATATTTTTATTTTCATTTTCATTAACCTCATCCTATTGAATTTCTAACTTGTTAAGGCCTGGAGGTTATACACGTTCTTAGTTCTGTGTCATAGCTTAGGTTCTTCATAGGTTCATGTATGTTCTCTACAGGTTTCTGACCAATCCAAATACTTGAGATTTGAGTTTGAGCTTAGAAAAAATCTTTATAACTGTGGCCAGACACTTTTTTTGAACCTTGAAAACTGATTCCATTTTGGTACTGTTCATTATTAATTTTAGGGATTTCCAGATGAAATTTAAATTCAATATAGAGCATCAGGTCACACTGTACAGCAGAGTAATAGGGGTAGATATGGTTATAATAATTGTAAATTGAAATAAATGTATGCCAGGATTTTTTATTTAACATTTTTCCCCAGATTCTAATGAATTATAATTATATGTTCAACAGTTTTAACCTTTTTTCTTGTAATTATAAATCGTGTATGATATAATAATTTATTGTGATCTCAAAAAATAAAATATTTTTAGGCCTGATTCCTGACATACCACTGTTTTGAACATGTAGTTATGTTTTAAGGTGTTATTTACAAACATTATGATAAAATCATTATGTAAATGTAAACTTGATACATAATAGTGTATAAATATTCAAATGTTTGACATACTTTGTATAAGAATGACTGTTCATGCAGTATTATAAATAGACCTTAATCATCATGTACAAATTTAATGGACTATTGTTGTTTTTTGCAGAAGTTTGTAAAATGTTGTTCAGTTTTACGTAAAAATCTAGAAATTTAAATTATTTTGCACAAAAACTTTGTTGTTAAGGTGTTTAAATAAAATATGTCAATTCTGACCAATTTTAACACTGGTCACATGAAAATATGCCATTAACGTGAGATAAGTGATGACGCGGAATTAGTGATGTTGAGTATAAATGTTAATATTGTGTAACTTCCTATTGCAATATCCCCCACCAGGGTACAAAATCCCCCATTTTTCAGGCTTGTCTCCCGATTATCCGTTGTGGAATCTAATTTTCCTGATTTTCAAAAATCGGACCAAAACAAAATTTAAACCATCATTTTTACCAATTAAACTTAATTTTACAATACACTTGGTATTTTAAGCACTTACAACTAAAAAATACATCGTCCAAAGTAATGTCTCCCTAAAAACAGATTTCTCACAAAAATATCATCAACTTTGACTCTCATTTATGATGTTTTATTATTGGTATCTGTATGATAAGTCTCTATTAATATTATATTATGACAATTTATATATTTATATTTTCAGATTGTTGGTGTTGATCATGTGATATTTATACAAAAGAATTGTCTCGATAGACGAAACAGAACACTTAAAATATATGCACGGAATGAAAGCTTCTCATCTCGTATTGTTATCAACGAAACCTGTACATATTCTGTAAGTAATAATGTATTTATGTTTTACTTAATACCTTCAGGGCAATCTATGTTGTTTCATTACACTTTCTGAACAGACTCTGTACAGTGTAAATGTATTTAGTATCTTGTTTACCAAATATTTTTCCAGTCTTAATTATATTTGAATTGGATTCAACACAGTGATGTCCATTTCATAAAGAGATTTAAATGTATACAGTTCAACAGGTTTAGAGGATGTTGGTAAAAAATTGAACCTTGTATGGCATGTGTTAATACTTAGTGAAGAAAATGTTAACTATTAACCTACTCATGATATAATGAACTTTCCCTGTGCATGCATTGATGGACTTGTCCAATTTTGATTTTGGAATAGTCCATTATTGAAGGAATGTCAATATTAATATATTCAAATTGAAAATGAACCAGTCAATGCTGAAATCATACTTTAAAGAAAAAAACTATTAGGAAAACTAATTTTTGTCGCGTCCACTTGCAGAGAGCTTAACGTAGTTGTCACAATAGTAAACTGTGTCCATTGTTTGATTATGCTTGTCTGGGTTGCAACTCTCTCATTAGTAGGCAGAATTTCAAATAACTTAGCACAAAAATTCATAATAATGAGACAGTGTGTCATGTGCAAGAATCATTTGACTAGGTCAAAGATCAAGGTCATACTATGCATAAAAATGGTCTCAAACAGCTTGTCGCGCTATAAATCTATCTCTAGCTGGTGGAATTTTAAATAACCTGGCACAAATGTTCCACATCTTGAGATGGTGTGTTATGCACTAGAACTGTGTGGCTAGGTCAAAGGTCAAGGACATAGTTTAAGGTCAGATGCAAAAAATTGGTCTCAAACAGCTAGTCGCACTATATAACTCTTATCACTAGCTGGTAGAATTTTAAATAACTTTGCACAAATGTTCAACATCTTGAGACTGCATCCATTTGACTAGGTCTAAGCTCAAGGTCACACCTGAAGGTCAGATGTGATAGCGGGCTCGACATGTTGCCTTTGGGCATCTTGTTCTTTATATTTTGATATGATTTTACAATTAGCATTTTACAAAGATAATCATCATCCTTTGGTTAGGTATATACATGTATTAAGTAGGCATCAGAAGAAATATTGTCATGTATATTTAGGAGGGCATTGATTTTTTTTTGTAAGATCATTTTCTGGTTACCAGATCAAACAGCATTTTCCAGTATGTAAAGAAGGTATGTTTGATTGTTAGATACCTTAGGCAGATTTCTTTATACTTTGTCCTGTATCAGATAGTTACTGTACGAATTTGTGTACCATAATGTATTTGATTAAACCTAAATGGAAGGGTGTATCAGTTTTGTTGGTCTATCAAAATATCCTGAATGTCATTGGTTTTTCAACACTTTCTTGATGGTCTTTTAAAATGAATAAGATTTCAAATGAAGGGGTGTCTGTGGACGAGTGATTAAGGTAATTGACTTTAAACCACTTGTCTCTCATCGCTGTAAGTTCGAGCCACACAATCATCGTTGGATTCTACATATATGAGACAGCTATCTAGCTAGCTTAAAGAATGATGGTGGTTCTACTCAGATGCCTGTTTATGCCTGCAATGATGTACAGAGGGTACAACTGTAAACCTGAAAGTCATCATATGACATAACCTTTGTTGGTGTGACGTACAGCAAAAAAAAAAATCAATCAAAATGCAAGGTTCATAAACAAATGACATATGTAACATATTATAAATGTATGTATATTTTCAGGTGCATGAGGAGAATCCAGACTGGACATGTTTTGAGCAGGAGGCTAGTCTAGATATTAAGTCTTTCTTTGGGTTTGAGAATACAGTGGAGAAGATTGCTATGAAGCAATACACACATAACATCAAAAAGGTAGAATACAAGATTATGTCAGTTAATAAGTTTTAAGATACATGTATTTTGAGTGTTTTTTATATACCAAATTTTCATGTGCCAGTGTATTCTAAAGTTAACATGATCATAAAGGTAAATTATCCTTTATGCCTATTTATTATTGATTTATAATTGGAGTTAAGATATGAAATATCATATGAAAGCTGTAGGTTTTAACAAACATCTGATTTCCATACAGTATTATTGCATAATGTACTCAAATTTATAATGAATTTCAATTCTAACTTATTTTTGCATTGAAGGAATAAAAACTTTGTTGTACTAATTTGTTTGGTCAGCAGCGTGGAACAACATGTGCATTATGCCATAGGATTATATGATTTTAAACATGCTGTCAGCCTTAAAATCTGTCAGTATTTTAAAATCAAATTTTATAGAGGGGAAAATATATGATAGCACCACAGACATAATAATGACAAGTTTCCTTTTATACATGCGACAATTTAATTTCCTAAATTTGTTTTGTTCAGTTTTATATGAAATGATCATGTTTGATTTCACAGGGGAAAGAAGTCATAGAGTATTATATAAATGAGTTAATAAAGGAAGGAGTGACTGATCTACCACGTTGGAGGAGCTTGTTACCGTCCAGCCAGGCCCAGTCAGACCAGCAGTCTTCCCAGGATAGTGGTGTGAGGTCAAGGTCAAACAGTGTAGTCAGCAATACTAGTCAAAACAGTCATAGTAGTCAGAGTAGCCTGATATTAGGTGCAACGGCCGCGTCCATAACCACACCTGTAGAAGCAGGTCAGTTCCTTATATCATTAAGGCTATTTACTATATACATTTGTATTATAAAAAGTGTTATAAAGTGAAATTTCATTTCATTTAGGTTATAATCATAAGTTAAAAGATTTTTGATAGGTAATATGTCTCAATATAAAGATTGCTAAAATATTCCAAGTGGCTTTATAAGGGTTTTACTATAAATAGCATTCTGCTGATATATCCCAAGTAGCTTAATGTAAAGATTTTCCTTGTGCATTTCAATGTAATTTTTTTATGCAAAAAACTTTAAGTTCAATGTACACCAAGAAGAAACTATGTATGTTTTGAGTGCTCTTGAAAATTTTAAACTTTCCACTTCTTAATGATATATGTTCCATATTTACACAAAACAATGAAATTGTCACCTTGGTGTAATAACGGGTTAACTCCTATTGGAGTTTAACAGGAGTTAATCCATTTCTACGCTAAGGTGACAAATGTTAACATCCGGTATTTATTCTCATCCTGCTATTTCAGAGCCAGTACAATGTCATGTTTTAGCAGAGACTTCGGGTAAACTTGACGCAGATTATATAGAGAGATTCCTCGGTCACCTGACACCTGTTGAAGAATCTCAACTTGTACAACTCAGACAAATTATACAGAAAACTCACAAAGGAAAGGTAAGTCTAAGTTATTCAAAATGTACTTGTTTTGTTTTTGAGTGTAGAAATGTCAAACATTTTAATCTATCATGAAAGAACGACACATTTTAACCCCAAATCTGCTGAATTTGTTTTACGGATTTGCAAAGTTTTAAATTTGGATTAAGTCCTTTCAAAGTTTTAGAGATTTCAATATCAAAATGCAAATGCAAAAGTTTAGTTAACAAAAGTATAGAGTCTGGCCTGACTGGCTTGACTGGCTTTATACTGTTGGCCAAAGCTACATGTAATCACTTTTGGTTCAAGCAGGTTAAGGGTACATGGGTATGTCCTACTTTGAAGTGATATTTGTCAATCTTAATAACTTCAGTATTGATATACTGAAGTTAAGTAGCCAGCCATCTGGTCATTCTGTACAGATGGGCTGGGCTGGCTGGTTTTAGACTGGTGGTTTAGGGATTGAGGAATTAAAATCACTCGTTAGACTAGTTCTTTACTACTGCTGTAATGTATGACAAAACTTGATACACTTGTATAATGATTGTTCAGTGAGGAATGCTCTACCTTTTTGAAAATTGCCTTCAAAGTTTTGAACTTTGTTTAACAGGTTGTCTAAATTTGAATTTGTACACAAGAGTGTGAAAAATGAAAATACTTTAAAATAATGAAGAAAATTATCAGCCTTCTTGTTCATTTTTTTGTAGCATGTGAAATCACTAAATTCAGTTTTTTAGAGCAATATGTTTGCTCATAGTTGGAAAGGTTCTCATAGTTTTGTTCCATCTGTGAAAGATTGTTGCTAGTACAAAAGGTTTCCTTTCAAATGTATAGAAAGATGTTCATACTCTTATTTGTTAGTTCACTAAGCTCCTTCTGATGAAAAAGGTTTTCATTTTTTTCTTGTTTTTGTTCAGATACCTAAAGATGCACACATACTTCGTTTTCTACGTGCACGAGATTTTAATATGGAGAAAGCACGGGAGATGCTGGCTCATTCCCTGGCTTGGCGTAAACTTCATAATATTGATCATCTTCTACACACATACAAACCTCCAGATGTGTTAGAGAAATATTATACAGGAGGCTGGCATTATTCTGATAAAGGTATGGATTGAAGAAATAACAATATGCTAATTATATATGTATATCTTAAAGCAGCATGCCTCCAGATTCTTGAAAGTTTTCATGAAAATTTCGAAAATGTGTTTACAAGTATAATATTGTGAAATGAACAATGATTACACATTTCAAATGGCATTCACTATCCATGTAAATTACCAAAAAGAAGTCAAAATATGCAAAAATAGCTCTTACTTCGTTTGTAACACAGTAAAAATATGGTCAGTTAATATGGCACATTATATGTAAATTACTTAAACCTTTTTACTTTTCTTAAAATCTTAATACATTTTTTTCAAGTTTGATTTGCTTCAGATAATTTTGTCTTATCTGGAGGTATGTAGCTTAGCTTAACACAGGTTCTTAGGTCTTATATATTAAACCTTATTACATTATCATGTGTTTTGCATTATTTTAAGACTTTTCTTGTTATATGAATGCCATTTCATAGTTTTTGTCTTCGTGTCAGCTTTTGAAGTAGATTTTATTCACATAAGTCAGCTTTAACTGATTTTACTCATGCATTGGTTGTCAAGAAAGGAGACTAGCAAGCCTAATGAATTGCAGGGTGTTTTGTTACCAAATGGTTAAAGTTGCTGGTTTCATTTTTTCCCCTCACTACTATTGGCTTAAATCCCATCAGAGACTTTGGATTCTTTCATGTGAAGAAGCTATCCTGCCAGCTTAAGGGAGGTCAATAGTTCTACCCAAGTGCCTGTTCTAACTTAATAAATGCACAAAGGGGCTCTTGTGATGTTTTTTGGGGTTTTTTACCACTAAGCTAGAAATACCCAACAAATTGATAATCATAAGTATTTCATCACTATTAAGTAACAAGTCTAAAATAATGATTTTGTATGCTAATTGATTGACTAGTGAAGTATTTTATTTCTTTTCAACAGATGATAGACCATTGTATGTACTCAGACTTGGGCTAATGGATGTTAAAGGCTTAATGAAGTCAGTTGGGGAAGAAAATTTGCTCAAACATGTAAGTTCTTTCAGTTTGAACAAATTAATTTTAGTTTGATTGTAGTTTGCTTTGTGGTATAAGCTTATCGGAAAACTGTCAAATCCATTCCTGGAACCAACCAGTACTAAGCAATGAGTGTAAAGTTTCTTGCTCACGGAAACAACAGCTTGCCCCTGACGGGGTGTGAACCCACGTGGCAAGCAATCCTCCTTTTGTAATTAAAGATATATTTCATATTTGAATTATCACAATTAGAGGAATTTTATGGATCGGATTGATTGATTTTGTCACTGTTATTTATCTTACCAGCAGCTTATATAACTAAGTTAACATGATTATTTTCAGGTATTATGGGTAAATGAAGAAGGTTTACAGAGAGCTAGTGAAGCAACAAAACAGAAAGGACATCCTGTCAGGTAAACTTTGTAATGTTTATGAATGTAAGACATGTCATATCTCAGTACAGTAGAACCTGTAAAAAAATCTGCTCATGTAAAAGAAATACCAGTCTGCATCAAAATTTCGAAATACCTGTCTGCATCAAAACTTAGAAATACCAGTCTGCGTCAGAATTTAGAAATACCAGTCCGCATCAGAATTTAGAAATACCAGTCTGCGTCAGAATTTAGAATGACCAGTCTGCATCAAAGGAGTTTTTTCAAAGGACATTTAAAAAAAAAAAAAATTATGATAGATTAAATGGGAAATGTGCCCGCTTTCTTTTGAGGATCACATAACCTTTAATGAACTCTGTTTTGTCAGCAATAGCAAGCATGTGTCGGGGATATTCAGCACTTGTGACAATTTCTAGTTGAACACTGTTTTGTTAGCTATTTTACATGGTATATGCCATAGATTTTCATGAATAAATGTTTAACATCTGTTATCTTTAATTATCTTCATTACCCATTTCAAGAAATGGGGTTTATAGGAGAAATAGATGAAAAAAAGACTATTAATGACGGTTTCTTTATTTTCAAATATATTTTGAATTGTGATTCAAATTGAGCAGTATTAGAAAAAAATCTACAAACTAAAATGCACAGCATTTGTTAGGGAGCGGGTTTAAGAGAAGCTTGCATTGTACCCTGGAAATTTATTCCATAAAGTTGCTAATTTTTGCCTTTGACTTTTGAACAGGTATTTAAGTTTGTTTGTTGTTTATTTTAGTGCTTGTACCTGTATAGTAGATCTGGAGGGTTTAAGCATGAGACATTTATGGAGACCTGGTATCCGAGCATTGCTGCGTATCATCGAAACCGTTGAGGCTAACTACCCTGAAACCATGGGTCGATTATTGATTGTCCGAGCACCTCGGGTATTCCCGGTCTTGTGGACACTCATTAGTCCATTTATTGATGAGAATACAAGTAAAAAGTTCATGATATATGGTGGAAATGATTATCAAGGCCCTGGTGGTCTGGTGGACTTCATAGACAAGAAATATATTCCTGATTTTCTTGGCGGAGAATGCTACGTAAGTTTTCTTTTTTACTTGATAACTGCTTGTTTCAGAATAATTTGCTTATTGTCTGTTTATCAGATTGTTATATGAATTGATGTACATTGTTTAATATACTTCAAACAGCTGTAACAGCATTGACTGTTGAACTGAAAATTGTTAGATATGTGGTTACATAGAGTAAAGTTAAGGTGTGCAGCATTTCTCATATACTGGTAACTATGGTACCAAGTCCATATGGTATGATACCAAGTTAAATTCGCAAAATGCCTGGATACCCGGATATTTTATCAAAATATTTTACAAATAATTGTTATTATTTGTTGTGTACCATAAAAAAAGTAAACAAGTATTCACAAAATGTCTTACAAGATGTACAAGAAGTGGTGACCTAGGTCTGGTACATTGAATATGTTTACCATGAAAATTTGTACCCAGCCTGCTAAAATATCTAATCTTAAGGGAAAAACAATAAGGTTACATTCAAAAGTAATGGATAAGACCTTTTGTGTCTGTATTATATTGTTAATTCTGTCTCAATTTTTCATATCCACTTAAAAGTTAATTGGTGCAGGTTTATGACATACTTGATAATAGATAGGATAACAAAAATCTAGGACTATCCCGGCGTATAAGGTTTGGCCATTCATTTAGCCCACTAGATCATAGGGACTCAGCACAGTGAAAAAAATATATATACACAGAATTTTTTTCTAGAATTACATTTTACACTATCCCAACACAGTGCCGAGTCCCTGTGCACTAGATAGTTTGTTAAAATTAATTTAAACCCTCAGTGTTATTTTTTCCTGTCAAGTTTTTAGCAGATGTTGTTTTCTGTGTGTCTCAAACAATTTTATGCACATAGTAAATGTTGTATTACAGTGTGATGTACCGGAGGGTGCTCTAGTACCTAAATCTCTTTATAAAGAAGAATATATGGACAGATCTCCTGATGAACAACCTCTAAATGTTGCCAACAGTCTTTATCAGACAGCCCATATTATAAAAGATTATCCTCACGAGGTAAGTCACCAAATAATGTAATGGGTTTGCATAATTCTGCATAAATCATAGCTTTGTCATCATTGTCATCATGATACATGTATATTTATATAGAGGATATTTGTTTAGTTCAGTGTAATGAGGTGAAATATATTTCAATCTTACACTAAACTAAACAAATTTTCTTTTTATTACATGCAAAGAAACGTTTTAAAAAGACATTTAACCTAATACAAAATGAAAAGCGCGCCAAATAACAATACAACGTGATGTCATATACGATTTCACGTCATTAAGTTGGTTTCCAGTACTGTGCACGCTGGTATTTCTCTGAAACAACGTAAGGGGTTTAAATTAAAAACAGTGAAAGTATCAAATTGATAATTTCACTGTTAAAAACAGTGAAATTACCAGTTTTATATTTCACTGGTATAATTCTATAAGCCACTGAAAAGCATGTAATAAAATACTGCATGTTTGTAACCTTGCTTTTCATTGGCTTATCATGACGTTTATAGTTTTGTAAACACAGCTGCTGTCAATTTAGGAAGAAAACTAATTTTTTGCCTCTAAAAGAAAGTTTGCTGTATTATAAATTTCTTGACAGGTTATATATCCTAGCAGCTATAGTTATATATGAAAAAAAAGTTGATATAGGGCCATATGACCTGTCAAAAATCTATATAACTAATAATATATAAACTAAACAGAGTGTGTCGGGTCTTGTGCTTAGTATAATTATCACAATTCTATAAGTATATCAACATTTTCTCCTGTTATGGATATTTATGTATTGACTAAATGGATGTTGTTTGTTACCTTTTAAACTGTTTGCTTCAGTTTTTAGTTGGCTTCATGCGGTATGAAGTAAAAAGCACTTTTGCTGAGATATTTTTTACATGTCTGTCTGTCTGTCTGTCTGTCAGAGAGAATATTGACTGCATACTTAGTCATTTGCATAACATTTAGTTTATAAACAATCAATTATTTTCACCATTACAATCTACTGTCATTTCTTGCTTGGCAAAAAAGTCTTAAAACTAGTTAGTTTATATCAGATTTAAAAAATTAATTGTTTTATATTGAAGGTATTAATTCAAGTTCCGCAGCGAGGCTGTGTAGTGACATGGGATTTTGACATATTGAAGGGAGATGTGTCGTTTACCGTGTTACGAACAAAGCACACGTTGAGTAAAGAAGAACATCATATTCATCATATCAGTGGATTACCTGTCAGTACTCAAATCATTGATAAAAACATGCAGGTTGGGAGAGATATGAGTATAGTCGAACCACCTCATATATGTAGGGACGGAGATAGTGTTCAGGTATTTATTTATATGACTAGGTTGATTAAATAATGAATTTGTTTATCTATTTGAATTTGTATAATCCTCTGTTTTGCATTTGGAATTGTTTTGTTGTCAAGGTATTAAAATTAAGTAGTCAACAGTATAGTCGGGTAACACTGCTTTTAAAGGCCCATTATGCCTAAGAAATGCTATGATTTTTATTTCTCGAAAACTTTATTTTTTGGTATCATACTAAGGTTCCAAAATAATACTAAATTGCCATAAACATGAACTGTTTTTTTGCTCATTCATCTCTATTTGCAATGGATATAATTATAGTGCATTAGTATTTTGTTTGGAAGTCAAAATACTACTGTGTTTACATTTTGCTACAACACATAACTGTATATTCAGCGCTACTTTCTTCAGTTGTTAATCGTCCAACATACTCTAAATCTATTATTAAAATGTTTAATATTTATAAAATATTAAAAACACATGGATTTCTGAGGCATAATGAGTCTTTAAAGCATTAAATCAAAATTTTGAATATTTATTAAAATTTCAAAGATAACAAAAGTATAAATTTTACATAATCATTACTGTTATATTACAGGGGTCACATGTAGCTAGTGAATCAGGCACCTATATTATTATTATTGTTATATTACAGGGGTCACATGTAGCTAGTGAATCAGGCACCTATATTATTATTATTGTTATATTACAGGGGTCACATGTAGCTAGTGAATCAGGCACCTATATTATTATTATTGTTATATTACAGGGGTCACATGTAGCTAGTGAATCAGGCACCTATATTATTATTGTTGTTATATTACAGGGGTCACATGTAGCTAGTGAATCAGGCACCTATATTATTATTATTATTATTGTTATATTACAGGGGTCACATGTAGCTAGTGAATCAGGCACCTATATTATTATTATTGTTGTTATATTACAGGGGTCACATGTAGCTAGTGAATCAGGCACCTATATTATTATTGTTGTTATATTACAGGGGTCACATGTAGCTAGTGAATCAGGCACCTATATTATTATTATTGTTATATTACAGGGGTCACATGTAGCTAGTGAATCAGGCACCTATATTATTATTACTGTTATATTACAGGGGTCACATGTAGCTAGTGAATCGGGCACCTATATTATTATTATTGTTACATTACAGGGGTCACATGTAGCTAGTGAATCGGGCACCTATATTATTATTATTGTTATATTACAGGGGTCACATGTAGCTAGTGAATCAGGCACCTATATTATTATTATTGTTATATTACAGGGGTCACATGTAGCTAGTGAATCAGGCACCTATATTATTATTATTGTTATATTACAGGGGTCACATGTAGCTAGTGAATCAGGCACCTATATTATTATTACTGTTATATTACAGGGGTCACATGTAGCTAGTGAATCAGGCACCTATATTATTATTACTGTTATATTACAGGGGTCACATGTAGCTAGTGAATCAGGCACCTATATTATTATTATTATTACATTACAGGGGTCACATGTAGCTAGTGAATCAGGCACCTATATTATTATTACTGTTATATTACAGGGGTCACATGTAGCTAATGAATCAGGCACCTATATTATTATTGTTGTTATATTACAGGGGTCACATGTAGCTAGTGAATCAGGCACGTATATTATTATTATTATTGTTATATTACAGGGGTCACATGTAGCTAGTGAATCAGGCACCTATATTATTATTATTGTTATATTACAGGGGTCACATGTAGCTAGTGAATCAGGCACCTATATTATTATTATTATTGTTATATACAGGGGTCACATGTAGCTAGTGAATCAGGCACCTATATTATTATTATTGTTTGTTATATTACAGGGGTCACATGTAGCTAGTGAATCAGGCACCTATATTATTATTACTGTTATATTACAGGGGTCACATGTAGCTAGTGAATCAGGCACCTATATTATTATTATTATTACATTACAGGGGTAACATGTAGCTAGTGAATCAGGCACCTATATTATTATTATTGTTATATTACAGGGGTCACATGTAGCTAGTGAATCAGGCACCTATATTATTATTATTGTTATATTACAGGGGTCACATGTAGCTAGTGAATCAGGCACCTATATTATTATTATTATTGTTATATTACAGGGGTCACATGTAGCTAGTGAATCAGGCACCTATATTATCATTACTGTTATGTTACAGGGGTCACATGTAGCTAGTGAATCAGGCACCTATATTATTGTTATATTACAGGGGTCACATGTAGCTAGTGAATCAGGCACCTATATTATTATTGCTGTTATATTACAGGGGTCACATGTAGCTAGTGAATCAGGCACCTATATTATTATTATTATTGTTATATTACAGGGGTCACATGTAGCTAGTGAATCAGGCACCTATATTATTATTATTATTGTTATATTACAGGGGTCACATGTAGCTAGTGAATCAGGCACCTATATTATTATTATTGTTATATTACAGGGGTCACATGTATAGCTAGTGAATCAGGCACCTATATTATTATTATTGTTATATTACAGGGGTCACATGTAGCTAGTGAATCAGGCACCTATATTATTATTGTTGATACATTACAGGGGTCACATGTAGCTAGTGAATCAGGCACCTATATTATTATTATTACTGTTATATTACAGGGGTCACATGTAGCTAGTGAATCAGGCACCTATATTATTATTATTGTTATATTACAGGGGTCACATGTAACTAGTGAATCAGGCACCTATATTATTATTACTGTTATATTACAGGGGTCACATGTAGCTAGTGAATCAGGCACGTATATTCTACAATGGAAATATTTTGACTCTACAAAAGCTTCCTTTGAATTCTCCTTGACAACACACAAGTCAAAGGTCATGTATCACACAGAACTTCTACAGTCAGCAACTTTTAGGTAAATTCATCTTAAATATTGATTTATCTGTTAGCAATTTGTCAACATAATGTATATAATTGTAACTACTAACCTTTAAACTACTGAATTTGGTGAAGGGACTTTCCCAGCTTCCAATTCTTGGAACTGTTATCAGTTTGGAAATATTTTGGGAAATAGATTATTTGAAGTTGGTTAAACAACAGTATAGAGTTTGGACAGAATGGAAAATGTACTTGCTGACCCGGCTCTATACTGGTGGCAATGTCTAATCACTTTCGGGTTGAGAGGGATGAGCTTTAAAAGAACCTATTTCAATACAAAATAAAACATTTTTGAAACATATTGACTAGTTATTGGTCAGCTTGTATTAGCCACTAGCTGATAAGCCCAGCCTAAATTTACCTTGCATCACATCTCTTTAGTATCATTAGTAAATAAATTTAGAAACCAAGAACTGTGTTGTTTAATCTCTCTACCCATGCTACCCAGTAACTATAATATAGCAGACATTACAATTGACTTCCTGTTTTAGAAAAATATATACAGAAATTGACTCGTGTTGTTATTTCATATATTCATTTATGAAAAAATAAGATATAACAATGTAATGCTTAGATAATGCATATATATATAGCTGGCCTTTTAGTTTAATTAATATTTAAGTGAATAAAGTTCCTATATGTTATATTAGAAGATATAATGAGAAATGTAAAATTCATGTTTAATGCATTTTTATTCTGCTAGAAAACTGTCCAGGAAATTTCCAGGAAAGCCATAAGGTGACTTTAGTCTAGCAAAAGAAAAAAAAATAAATTGGTTCTATTTCAGAGGATCCATGGCAAGTCTACAGTCAAGTGCCAGTGGGTTTTCTTCTCTCAGTATTGGGACAAATCAGAGTTTACCGATGGCAAGAAAACATTGATACAAGATTGTATCTTTGTGATAGGGGATGAAACTAACAGTATACAATGCATATCTTAGTCAATTTATATATACGGGGAACATGTTTGTTACTATTTATTGTGGTGTGTATAGGTGAAAATGTATGTGGATTTATGTCTGACTTTTGTTTGAAGAATGTCCTATTTGGTACATATTTATGATTGTCTTTTATTTCATTCTTTTATTAATATATCCTGTGCCAATTATCATCCTGCATGAAGTCCAGAAACACTTTTGAAAAACTAATGAAATACTGTTAAAAGCTAATTCCATACTCATAAGTGTAAATTTATCTCCATTGCTAAGTTTTTTATCATAAATTCTTTAGCATTGCCATTAATGAAAGTTGGTTTGAACCCAAGACTTTCCAAGTCCTGATCTGTGTGTAAATATGGCCTGAATATCTTATGACCTAAAATTTATTGCACATAAGTTTGTCAGTTTTTTTTTTGTTTTGTTTTTTATTAAATGATAAATACAGGCTATACTTGGCACTAATCTTACTCAATAAATAGAGAGCAACTTATCATAGGGTTGTGATGACTCATCAATATACTCAGGTATAAAATATGACATGTCCCTCAAGTACATTTTGTATTATACACACAGAGTTGAAGGTTTGATTGAAGACATTTTTTATGCTCCTCTGGTCAAACTTTTATGGTGCATATAGTTGCTGGTTTTTCTTTCTTCAATTCTTCTGTCCCACACAATATTTTTCAAAGCACCTTCAATTATTGACTGATATTTAGTGTGTTCTTACCTACTATAGATCTCAATCCTTAGAAAGGGTGTTGGATCAATGGGGTCAAGGTTAATAGTTTTATTGAAGCTAAAAATGGATTCGCCTAATTTTCAACATAAAGTAAGGCCATGTCATGAAAACAACTATGTGTCCATGGTAGTTATAAACAATATTCTTGTAGATTAGCTAACCATCAGCCTTAACTTTTGAATAATACAATTTTAAAAAGAAAAGTCTGGTTATTTTCCTTAATGTTCAAACATTAAACAGATTTATATTGAACATGGTTAAGAATTAAGCCTCTATCTAAAATGTATTTCTCTCTAAACAGAACTGCTCTTGAAAAACGGTTTTACTATAGTTAGAAACTGTTCATGTTCCTCATTTGTAATAACTTAATATTTTTGAGAAGAAAAAACACAAAATATGTTCGTAAGATATTAATAGAATTCATACATTATAGAACTCAACATGTATGTCTGTATACTATATTCTTTTTTGAAAATAAGCTTTTTTAGCTAACCTGTCACAAAGTGACAGGGTGAGCTTTTGTGATCGCTTTTCGTCCTTCGTCCGTTCGTAAACTTTTGCTTCAAATGACATCTCCTCATAAACCACTAAGCCAATTTCATCCAAAACTTCACAGGAATGTTCCTTTGGTGTTCAAAGAATTTAATTCCATGCAGAACTCTGGTTGCCATGGCAACCGAAAGAAAACTTTAAATATCTTCTTTTAAAGAACCCAAAGAGCTAGAGCTTAGATATTTGGCATGAAACATCTTCCAATGAGTGTCTACCAAGTTTGTTCAAATAAAAGCCCTGGGTCAAAATTGGCCCCGCCCTAGGGGGTCATTGATTTTCCCTATATGCATATAATAAAAACTTAAAAAATCTTCTTTTAAAGAACCCAAAGAGCTAGAGCTTAGATATTTGGCATGAAACATTTTCTAATGAGTGTCTACCAAGTTTGTTCAAATAAAAGCCCTGGGGTCAGAATTGGCCCCGCCCCAGGGGTCATTGATTTTCCCTATATGCATATAGTAAAAACTTAAAAAATCTTCTTTTAAAGAACCAAAAGAGCTAGAGCTAAGATATTTAGGCATGAAACATCTTCTAGTGAGTGTCTACCAAGTTTGTTCAAATAAAAGCCCTGGGGTCAAAAATTGGCCCCGCACAAGGGGGTCATTGATTTTCCCTATATGCATATAGTAAAAACTTAAAAATTTTCTTTAAAGAACTCAAAGAGCTAGAGCTAAGATATTTAGCATGAAACATGTCCTAATGGGTGTCTACTAAGTTTTTGTTCAAATAAAAGCCTGGGGTCAAATTTGGCCCTGCCCCGGGGGTCATTGATTTTCCTTATATGTGTACCTAGCCATAAACTTAAAAAACCTCTTTGAAAAAATCCCAAATAGCTAGAGTTTAGATATTAAGCATGAAACATCTTCTAGTGAGTGTCTACAAAGTTTGTTCAAATTAAAGCCCTGGGGTCAAAATTGGCCCCGTCCCAGGGGTCATTGATTTCCTTATATGTGTTTAGCAAAAACTGAAAAAATGTTCTTTGAAAAAAAACCCAAATAGCTAGAGGCTTTAGATATTAAGCATGAAACATCTTCTACATACGTGTCTACAAAGTTTGTTCAAATAAAAGCCCTTGGGTCAAAAACTGGCCCCGCCCCAGGGGTGTCATTGTTTTTAACTATATGTGTATAGTAAAAACTTAAAAAACTTCTTTTACAAAACCCAATGAGCTAGAGCTTAGATGTTTAGCATGAAACATCTTCTTATTGGTGTCTACCAAAGTTTGTTCAAATAAAAAGCCCTGGGGGTTTAAACTGGCACCGCTTCGGGGCCTATATACAGGTGAGCGAGCGCGGCGCGCCCCCGCCCGCGCCGGCCGCCCCGGCCTCAGGGCCATCATGGCCCTCTGTTTTCTAAGTGGTAATAAATACAAGTTTTTAAAAGGTTCTCTTGTTTTGAGATTTTTTTTAAAAAAATGTTTGAGAAAAAAAGAATACTCAAGTTGAAAGTATGTTATTTTAGACTAGCTAATGAATATTGTATTTTTGAAATAATTACTCTATTAATGTATATTTATCCAAGAACAATAAGTTAACCAAGACATTGTTTTTAATGTAAAAAAAAAAATTCAGGAAGACTAACGCTTGTTAACATACCTCATGGCTAGTCGATTGTAAGCAAATATATTTATTTTGAACATCTCCACATAATTGTCAAAAAACAGTCCATTTTTAGATTGCAATTATACAAAGTTACATATATCATTCTTTTCCTGATAATTGAAACTTATGTTGCATGAAATTTTTATGCAGTTTCAATTTAGGTTTTGATCAGTTTTAGGCTTTTTTGTCATCTATGGTGGTCTGACGCCGTGGTGTTGCTTTAAAGTTTATAAAACCCAATTTTATAAAAAAAATCAGCTTTCCTCTTTAGGCACCATAACATGACCCCAAATTGTGTAGGTTTGCCCTCAAACCAACCAAAACAAAATTCATCTGCAAAGAACTATTTTATGTAGACCTTGTAACTCTTTAAGAATACTCTTGGTCATCGTGTATTACTACTCATTACTGTTTTTGATATGGTTTGCTTGGTTCACTAATTATAAATTGTACATATATGTAAGAAAATATTGAAAACTCATTTTTGTTGTAAATGTACATTGTTAATATCATAGGTTTTTTGTAAAAATGTTATTCGATGAAAGACATTACATTTTCTTGTACAAAGTCAGTATATGTATGGAACTAGTTTCTTTCATTTTAAAGAAAATATCAAATTGGTTGAATAAATTTTTAATTTATTATTTCAATAATAGATTAAATTTACACTGTATAACCTTCTCTTAATGTGGGTTACCAAAGAATATTTTTACCCAGAATTTAATGTCTTTGTAATTTACAGCTCAGCTTAAAATTATTTGTTGTCAACTTGTCTGTTTGCTTAATTTCTTGATGGGAAAAGTTGACTAGAACAGTTTGTATCGTGTCAGGAAACAGGAATACTGACCAGCTTGAAACCCGCTAGGAATGACTGAAAACTTGCTTAATGATATAAATAAAATGAAACTAGAAAATATTTCATAATATATTGTACATTTTTTTTTTCATATGATGCAAGTATGAAATTCAGTCATCTTAGACAATGTTATAACATTATGTACAGATTTTGGTTTAATCTTGTGTAAGCATTTCTACATATGGGCATATTTTTGTGTAAGTCAGATAAAATTTTGTTGTTAAGGTATCAGGTAATTTATTTTTCTAGGGAAAACATTATATTATCAAAATGGTTTTAATTTCATTTTTTTCATTCACATCGAAATTTTTCATGGCCAGTGACTGAGTTGTTTATAGGTGTCATGTGTATAATATTTTTTCATAATAACATCTGATTCATCATTTTGCAAGAGATTTTCTCGCAGTTTGCCATTGAACATGTTAAGGTATTTAACAGATGTAATTTCTTCCATTTTTCATTCATATATTCATATTGTTTTGCAAGTAACTTTTCTACAGAAACTATTATACGTCAGAGCTGGAATAAGTTTGAGAGTAAAGATATGAAATCACATAATGTGTTAAGGCAATGACACTAGACAATGTATAGAATTATCCATTTTGAAAAGAAGTAAAAGTCTTCACTGAATGGTGGACATTTTCAAAAATTTAAGAACTCTTATGACTTCTAGAACTTTAATTATAGAAATACCAAGTATTTGCCAGGGTAATTTATAAAATTTACATAAACCACTGTCCATTATATAAGACAGATGATTATTCCATAAAACCACAATAAGCATATTACTTTTATTAAAAAGAATATGCAAAGTTCATATTTCATTACAAAATTAAATTTTGATGAATAAAAAAAACAAACTAATGAAGCCCATATTTTAAGTTATCACTTTAAAGTCAGTGAAAGAGTTTAATGTTGTTTAAGTAGTCCATTATTGTTCAGTTATGAAAACAATGTTAAGTGACATTTATAGAATGAAATTGTTTAATCAAATATCATAAAAAAGCAATGATTAATAAATGTTAAAAGAATATCAGGGTATTGAAAGTTTTTTGTTATCTGCATAATGGTTTTTCTTGTTTGTAGGTAATATTAAGTTCAGTGAGGTATAATTGATATCAAATACTTTATCCAATTCCCTGTTTTAAAAGAAAATTTGGTAACATGTTACTTGGAATTCCATTCCAATTGGGCCATCAATTGTTTAAACTTCCTATTGAACTCTAGCAGGGCTTTAATTAAACTAGCAAAAGGTCAAGCCCCAGCTTTTTGGTTTCAGACTGCAACTGTCCCCAAGCCGACCTCATTATAAATTTAAGAAAATATAGAAATCCTTCCTTTTTTCTACGGCTTTTCCAAATTTGAATTAAAGCCCAAAACCAGCCCTGCCACCCCACAAAATGCCCCCTGAAAGTTTTTTATCCCTGAATAATATACGTTTAAACCCGCAAAATTTTTTTTTGAACTTTGTTTTTACTGAAAATCCCTCAAATTTGAAATATACTTTGTTTATATCAAGGCCTTAAAATTTCATTACATGAATTTTCAACAAGGTTTTAATGAAGGTTGAATTTTGCAATAGATTTGCCCTAAATCAGAGAATGGGGTAAATCTATAAAAATAAATTAGGGCAGTGCAAGGGTTAAATGAATATGAAATAGGAGTATATCTGATTATTTAGTTTAGAAATCATCCCCAAGAATTGTTTCTTGTTATCCAAAGATAAAAAAAACTTTTTTTTAAATTATCATCAAGTTTTAGAAATGCATTACTTTCTTTTTGGTGGTGGATTATTTATTGCTTGAAAATATGTATTTATACTATATTAAGATATATATATGAGAGGAAATAGAATTGAATCTGGATATAATGTAAGCAAATTTGTTTTAAACCTTTACCTTGCTGTAAATTTCTTAAAATGGATTTTTGTCCAGATTTCATTTCTGAAACAGTTCATTATCATTTCGGGGATATCAAAGGTGAAAAAAAGTTTAAGAGCATGGTCAAACCGCACTCATGTACAGGTTGGTCTGGCTCTATACTGGTGGACAAAGGCTTATTCAGTATGGGAAGGGTTAAAGATATATTTTACATGGGAGTATTGAATATTCCATTTCATTGACTTTTTTATCACCATTTCATCTATTTGTGCATGTATAAAAAAATTCTGTACTATTAAACACATAATTTTAATCTTTAAGGAAATTTATGAGAAGGGTGTGAGTCTTTTTAGTGTTTTTTTTAAAGAAAAAGAAACCAAAGTTAAAA